TTTTCATTTATATTTCATATTATCATATCAACAGACAAAAGATACCACATCAAAGCCAATTTTATGAGTCATGACATTAAAATTAAATTCAGCTCAAATATATCTGGAAACGCGGCATTTTACAACACCTCCAAAATAAATCTTTGACGTAGTTCACACTGCTTTTTTTCCCCTCTACTGGCCGAGCACTGCAAATTCTTATAATAATAATAATAATAATAATAATAATAAAGTTTCCGCCTTATAAAGTTTTATTTTTATCAGACATTAACCGCTAATTGTTTGCTTCCCATTGTTTTTCTTGTTCTTGCTTCTTTTTGCTGATAATATTTTCTCTTTGTTTTTTTTTGGGCAACGTCTTGCCGCATTTTTTTAATATTTGCTACATTTTTATTGCCATTCTTATCTTGTCAGCGAACGCAATCAAACTGGGTTTCGGCGTGTTCCAGCAATTCGCGCCCAACACTTGACAGACCTCATCTTGGGCCAACTAATATGTGTGAACAAGCATTTAGCAACTGTTTAAGCAATGAAAGTGAACACAATGCTCGCTAGTAGAAGCTTTTTAAATATTTATTTAATTGACAGTTAAGCTCAACGTTGGGTTACTCTGTAGCCACGCCAGAATATGAATGCAAATTGTGTATTTGCTTTGCGCAATCTTCCCAAACGTTTTACTGGCTGCTGTCAACATAATTTACGTACTATTACCCCCATTAGCTATAAAGCTCTTATAAGTTTAAGGCTCTCGCTTGGTATCGTGTTATGTTTTAAAGCTTTCTTCTTTATGCGATATACGTAAACATTTAACTGGCATACATGCTACATGCATGCATTTCTATGCACGCGCTCTCTCTCCCTCTTGAAAAAGCTTCTCATTTTACTTATTCCCTTTTGTGAGACATTCGTTAACAGCTCACTGGCTAAATGTGCCTCTCTCTCCATTTTTGGAAGCATTCTTTCTGGAATTTTCGTAAACGTTTTACTGGCAGCTTGTGCTTATATGTAGGGACAGTTTCCGTCTTTCTTTCTCTCTCTCTCTCTCTCGAAGAAGAAGCCTTTACCTTTTCTGTTTCTCTTTTTGAGACATTCGTTTACATTTTACTGGCAAATTCACATCCTCGTCAGCTTATATATAAAGTTAAATATCTTTAAACTGACACATGAGTCATATTTGTGTTTGATTGATTTTGTTATAAAAGATTTGGAATATTGTAAGGTATCTAGTATAAAACTGTAAGATTATATATGGTTTTATATACTCTTATATATAATATATATAACCATTGCAGACTTTAACATCAGTCGAGCTGAAGAATGACAAGAGAATAGTTTATTTTATTGATGATTTCTTGGGCTCTTCGGAAACACTTACGTAATGACTTATTTCAAGAATTCTTGCTTCACTCTCACAGTTTAAAGACACGATTATCTTAGAGAAACTACATGAACTGTTGGAGTTTTGGTAGAAAAATAGTTTGTTACGTTTGTTGTACTTTCGTTGAGTCACATTTGCATTAAAAGGCGTACATTGAACCCGCATGACTAACTGCTAATATTAAGTTTTTAAGTGGGTTTGAACTATGTGCAAAATAGAAACTTATAAAAATCTAAATGAGCTTAAGTCTAGAGGCATAAAAATAATAGAAATTCTCAAGCTGAGCTTGCCAATATTTGTTAATGTTCTTTTTATAAATGAATCAAAATGCGATGCTTTCACAAAAATTGTTTGTAGACCTCATATGAAGCGTAAAGAGTCTTAAAGCCACTGACTAACTTTGATAACAATCGAAATCGTGCCCCTGCCCCGTGATCCCAATTAAACTCGACAACAATAAAAGATGTTTTATGACGACGCCTCAATGCCAAACGAGAGCCTCTACGAAAAGTGGCACACACTATCCGAGATTTACAAGTTCAAATATGACTCGGCCGAACTTGAACCTAGGAAGCCAAAAAGCAGAAAGACAAAACAATATTTTTATATAATTATTTGACCTTGGGTCTCTTTCGAGCCAAAAAAAAAACTTCTTTCAAATGGAGAGGGCTACGAGAAATTTCGAGTGATAAGATATATTTTTGTAACGTCAGACATCATATGACTAATTCGTGCGGGCACCCTAAGGAATTACGTATGAATAGTTGTGCTTTTAACGATATTCTTAGAGATAAGTTTTATTATTTGAGTTTATTATAGGAACGTGTGGGCTGTACTTGGAGTTTTGTGACTGTTTAAACTTGGAAAACTGCCAAAAAAAAGAAACGAGAGTTAACAAGAAAATAAATAAAGAACAACCTCGCAAAAGTCAACTTCAAGCAGTTCACGCTTATTTAGAAAACAGTTCACATTTAACAGTGTATCAGAGTGCTATATCTTTAGGTTATGGATATGTTCTAGGTCTACTTGCCTGTAAAATAGTAACATATTGAGAGGTAAATTTAACGTTAGTGGGAGAGCTTAAAGCTTATGAGAGCTTAAATTCATATGTATGTATATGCAGTTGACGAGAGAGAGAGAGGCAGAGAACGAGAGAGAGAATGAGAGAGAGGCAGAGAGAGAAAGAAAGAGAGACAGAGAGAGAGGCAGAGACAGAGAGAGAGAAAGAGAGAGAGAGATATGGTTAGAGAGCGAGATCGAGAGAACTAGAGAGAGAGACATGGATAGAGAGAGAGGGAGAGAGAGATAGGCAGAGACAGAGAGAGAGAGAGAGATATGAATAGAGAGCGAGATGGAGAAAGAGAGAGGGCGAGATGGACAGAGCGAGAGAGAGAGCGAGAGACAGAGGTAGATACAGAGAGAGAGAGAGGGATATATGGATGGAGAGCGAGATAGATAGAGAGAGAGAGACATGAATAGAGAAAGAGGGGGATATTATAATATATGATTATAATATATGATTATATTAGAAATCGAATCTGTCCAAGTCAAAAATCCTTAAGCTAACTATGATTTTTCTCAGAAACTTTACTCAGAAATAGAAAAAATCCAAATATCTTAACTGAATAGTCAACGGAGTTGGATTCAAGTCTGTTTATAGTTTATAACTTTATAACTTTATGAATATTTTATTTCGATTTTTTTTTGCGCATTAATTCTGTGCCCAGTTTCAGCTAACTATTATCGAAACTATAAAAATAACTATTAGTTAACTTTATTTATGTGCGCCCAGAGTCATTGCCAGCGTTTGTTATCGGCTGAACTAATAGATTTTAGGATCCACAGTAGTTGGGCTGTCAGCGGAGAACATATATCAAGAGGGCCATGGCAAAGATTACGCCCTGCCATCAATTATTATCTACATAAATATCCAGCAGGCATATGTGCGTGTATGTGCAGATAGATAGATATATCATTAGTCAGTCAAATGCTTTGATTTGCGTCTAATAACAGGTGTACTCGCTGTAAAAAGCAGCCATCGACTGTGCCAACATTTAACATCATGATAGGGAGTTTGATCGGAGCTGTCAGCTATGGGAATCTTATCAAGAGGCGCAATTTGTATATTCTCTGCGTGATTTGTTATAATTTGAAGCAGGCTTATCAGTCAGTTAACCAAACCACAGCCATATAATATATATATTTATATATATATATAGTATTATTCGATTAATATTCAACGATATCGGGCAGCTGTCTGAGCGCCCAAATGTGCCATTTATTTTTTTGTTCGAAAATCTAACGTAATGCCGATTCGGTCGCTTTTCTTTTTAAACAAACGCATTTATTATGGTCTGCTCGGTGTTATCACTAGACCCAACCAACCTATTTTTATCAGCCTGAATATTTATTGTGCTTCTCAGGGTACCGCCATATACGGGCCGTAAACAGACCTTGAATTTTGTAGTTGTACGATAAAAGTCAGAGCCAAAGGCATTCCCTGATATATGTGTGGCCACATAAACTTGAGTTCTTAGCCGAAAGGAATTCAGGCCTTTTAAACATAATAAATGTCTAAGAAATACATAAATTTATAAATATTTTAAGAGGTACGCCTAAGTAGGTTTATGATAGGTAAAAAGTATTTTATCAAAATTAAATGAGTTATTTTCTAGTTTATTATAAATTAATTTATAGTTAGTTAGGATCAGGCTAACTAGGCTAATGATTACAGGTCAAGTTTAAAAATAATTCTCTTATTATTATTATTTCTTTTATATATTTTCTACTTTAAAGCCAAATTTATTGATTAAAATGAAGAACACTTTAAAACCTTTAAATTGAAGTAGACTGCAGTAAAAAAAATGTAAGCCTAAAATAACTTTTGTGTGTTTTCATAGAAAAGATAATAAATAAATAAATATGTACAATAATTTTTATATATATTTCACATGTGTACAAATTTATTTAGAAGAGCATTTAAAAGTTTTCATTAATTTGAACAAATTTTCTACTTCTGTATAATTCAATAAGCCCACATTTCTTGAGAAAATTGAAGAGCTCTTTAAACATTTCGTCGCACAATCTCAACTATTTATAAGTATTATTAAATTGAACAAGATACGCGCAAAAAAATGTAAACCCTTGTCAAACAAAAGCTTCGACTAGACACAGTCATACCTGCTACCCATAGACAATATGTTACGACTTCTATATACATATATATATATACATATATATATATGCAGCTAAAAACAGACAAGTCAATACATTTAGTTGAAACAACAAACTCAATTTAAGCTAATTAAAAGTGGCCACGTTACGAGCAAAACCAAAACCACTCGAAACACAGTCGTGTAAATAAAAGATAAGGCATGAAATATGCCCTACAAAGTGGGCCGCATAGGGTCTCTAACTGGATGTAAAGTTATGCAGGAAACTAAAATACATATAAATAGGATATTTATTAGAGATTAGTCACAATTCGTAGAGCATTGCCTATTCTTTTTGCGCAAGAACTGCAAATTGATGTACTCCATTGTCACTTAATTATCTTTCTCAATTCGAATCCAGTATTAAAAACCAAATTTTATTCAATATTATCTATTTCTTTCTCATCTAGTTGAATACCCATCGGATGATGCGTATAGACCCAGTCACTATGGCGGCTATATCAATCGTGGCTATGATGATTTAGATAGTTCCTACCTCTTTGCACAATTCGAGGCCATGACGGATGCTAGAAATGGCGGCCAATTGCCGCCATATACGATCGAACCCCTTGCCAATGCCGATGCGGACACGGACGAGGATGAGTTTGAGGATAATGCTGAGCACCATGACGATGGGGAAGATGGTGATGATGTGTTCAAGGACTGCGCAGACGATGCCATAGCCGAGGACAATGAGCTGGCGCACAACAATCGCTGCCTGCCCGAATTTCAGTTCTCGATTGTCGATTCGGAATATGATGAGACGCTGGCGTTTCCCGATTCCGTAACGATACTGTCGACTGTGGGCGATAAGCCGGTGCTGGTCGAGCGGAAGGAGACCGACGACGACGACGAGGAGTTTGACGATGAGAACAGCGTCCTGATGCGCCAGGAGATACCCTTTACCAGCATCTATGGCGCCAGTGTGAAGTTCAATTCGTTTCAGCGCAAGGTCTTTATACCAGGACGCGAGATACATGTCCGAATTGTGGACACGGAGCGAAGTGTTACGACACATCTACTCAATCCCAACTTGTAAGTGGCCTTGATTGACTGACTGACTTGATCTCTGCTAAACTAAACTCTTGATGGCAATCCAGAAAATTCATTTAACAAGCTTCTTTAAGTTAACTTTCACAAAATTCCTTCATTCAATTCACTCTTTTCGGAAATTCCACCCTTACACGTGAATTTGCAATTCTCTACTTTAGAGTCGGAAAGTGAAAGGGAAAGCTATTTTCTGTTCTTGATTCCACCTTCTTGAAACCTATTTGTAGAAGAAACATTATTTGGAAATTGTTTTCTTGATCCGTTCGTCTTCTAACTATTTTTAATAATCTTGCTTTTACAGGTACACCATAGAGCTGACCCATGGCCCCTTCAAGTGGACCATTAAACGGCGCTACAAGCACTTCAATTCCCTGCACCAACAGCTCAGCTTCTTTCGCACCTCGTTGAATATACCGTTTCCCAGTCGCGCACATAAGGAGAAGCGCACGACCTTGAAGGCCGCCGCCAGTCAAATGGCCGATGAGTCCACGCTGAAGGATCTGCCTGCCCATACCAAAGTCAAGCATTCCAGCACGCCCATAAATAGTGCACAAAATCGCACCAATAACAACAACAATAATAACAATAACAACAACAACAACAATGAAGGAGCTGTTTCCATCATAAGTCCCACACATAGCTCCATTCTGTCCAGTCTGACGCCTCGACGCAGTCAACGGAAACGCAAGAAAAAGAAACGGAAACTGCCGCGTTTTCCAAATCGTCCCGAGAGTTTGATCACCGTGGAGCATCTGCCGGTGCGGATCAAGCAGCTGGAGGATTATCTATATAATCTGCTTAACATTAGTTTATATCGATACCATCATGAGACGGTGAGCGGAACTATATTGTATATAGAATGTGTGGGTGAGCAAATGTGGGATATACTCGCGAATTGTCATATATTTGTACAGGTTTAAGTTTAGTTTTTATCGATTGGCATCGGATTGATATACTTATATGGAGTGTGATCAAAAGTAGGAATAATTCATGTTAAAGAGCAAGAAATTATTTAAGGAGTATCGAAACCATCATGAGAATATATATATTATTAATAGAATATTGCGAGAGGAAGTAAAGTCAATGTGTCATTCAAAAAATGTGAAATTAGTAGAGAAAAGTCCAACTGCTTCTTAATAGACTAGATCTTACGTAGACTTGATTGTAGAGGGTTTATTGAGAGCGACACTTTAAGAAATTATATTTAAGCTCACCCAAAACTCCATAAGATTCTTTCTGGAGTGTTGCCTAATTTGGAGCTATTCAATTGCTACCTTTTTCTTATTATCTCATCTTGCAGCTGAACTTTGTCGAAGTCTCGAACGTGTCGTTTGTCTCCAATCTGGGCATCAAGGGCAAGGAGGGTGTCATACTGAAGCGCACCGGCTCAACACGTCCCGGGCAGGCGGGCTGCAATTTCTTTGGCTGCTTTCAGCGCAATTGCTGTGTGAGATGCAACTACTTCTGCTCGGATGTGGTATGCGGCACGTGGCGCAATCGCTGGTTCTTTGTGAAGGAGACATGCTTCGGCTATGTGCGGCCCACAGATGGCAGCATACGCGCCGTTATACTGTTCGATCAGGGCTTCGATGTATCCACGGGCATCTACCAGACGGGCATGCGCAAGGGCCTGCAGGTGCTCACGAACAGCCGGCACATTGTACTGAAGTGCTGGACACGGCGCAAGTGCAAGGAATGGATGCAGTATCTCAAGAATACAGCGCACACATATGCCCGCGACTTCACTTGCCCCAATCCGCACATGTCGTATGCCCCCATGCGTGCCAATACCCAGGCTGTCTGGTATGTGGATGGCGCCCAGTATATGGCCGCCGTTGCGGATGGCCTCGAGGCCGCCACGGAGGAGATCTACATAGCCGATTGGTGGCTCAGTCCGGAGATCTATATGAAACGTCCCGCTCTGGATGGTGACTACTGGCGGCTCGATAAGATATTGCTGCGCAAGGCCAAACAGGGTGTGCGCGTATTTGTACTGCTCTACAAGGAAGTGGAAATGGCGCTGGGCATCAACAGCTACTACAGCAAATCCACGTTGGCCAAGCATGAGAACATCAAGGTAAGTCCATTATAGACTACACAGCTCGAAGCGTTGCAAGTATTTTTCTTTTAATTCCATACGCGCTTTTTCCGCCTGCGTAGGTGGATTTGATAAGATTTTAAAATCGTGTTAGCACAAATTAAATATATATTCGTCAACATCTTCGCCTGACTTTAATTATTAAAAACGCTTTTCATTCATATGCCAATCGTAAGCGTGAATGTGCAAGTATTTTTTTTCAAATTGAAGATATACGCTCATTTTCCGCCAGCGCGGTGGATTTGTTAAGTTTTTTTTAAGTACATATTCGTTACTAGCTAACTTTAAATTTTAGGAGTCTTTCTACTATTTTCCAATCGTAAACGTGAATTTGGGTTTGTATGTGAAAGTATTTTTTTTCTAATTCGAAACATACGCGCGTTTTCCACCTACGAAGGTGAATTTTTTTTAAGTTTTCAAAGTCGTTCAAGCGCATCTTAAATATGCATTCGATAATATCTTAAACCAAGTTTATTTATCACAACTTTTTTCACTCTTATTCCGAACGTAAGTGTGACTGGGGTTTTGGCTTAACGAAACCTGTGAAAAGCGTGGAGTTCTCTAATAGATCCTTGAGCTTCAGAGCATCCTTTTGTTCACAAAAAATGTGTTACTGAAACAACCATAAAAAGTATTAAGCTTTTTCATAAATCTTAGAAACCTAAGATCTTAATTCGGTAAAAATTCATAAATTGGAACTGGAACTATTTGAAAGTCAATCGAGTAAAGCAACAGGTTAAGACAAAAATATGTTTTCACGCGCTTTTCACGGCTGCAGGTGGAATTCGGTAAAGCGTGAAATATCGTTAGAGGTGTGAGAAGTGTGTGAAATGCAACAATTTTATTTATACTTGTTTAGAGTTTTATTTACGGTTGCAATATTAATGAACTTTTGTCTTTTAGGTCATGCGACATCCGGATCACGCACGCGCTGGCATTTTGCTGTGGGCGCATCATGAGAAAATTGTGGTAATCGATCAGTCATATGCATTTATTGGCGGCATAGATCTGTGCTATGGCCGCTGGGACGATCGGGCGCATCGCCTGACTGACCTGGGCAGCATTTCGGCGGCCTCCGTGTCGGGCAGCGCGCGCTGCACGCCGAGCGCCCACTTCAACAAGGACGAGGTGGACTCGGCCTTTGGCTCGCGCAAATCCTCACGCAACGCACACTACGAGTCGACGGCCAAGGAGCCGGAGAGCGTCTCGCCCGTCCTCGCCAGCGAGGAATCGACGCAGAATCTGACGGCTGGCGTGGAGCTGCGCACGCTAAAACCCGGCGATCGGCTGCTCATACCGGAGCTGCTATCGGCAGCGTCCAGTGAGCTGGCCATTGACTCGACGGCGCTGGAGGGCATGAAACTGAATACGCCCGAAATGGAGCGCAAGAATATGCTGGATCGGCTCAAGAATAATGCAATGAAGGGCGCACGCAAGGGCAAGGACTTCATGCAGCGTCTGGCGACCGGCGAGACGCCAGACAATACGCTGGAGCCAGCCGAGGCGGAGTTGGATGCCAACGAGACAGCAGCAGCTGGAGCTGGCGAAACAGAAGCAGCAACACTTGACCACGCGGATGTGGCGCAAAGCTCCAGCTCGGCGGCGGCAGCCAATGCGACGGCGGCCAGCACACAAATACTCAGCGAGTTCTATGGCCAGGCCAAGTATTGGTTTGGCAAGGACTATTCCAATTTCATACTCAAGGATTGGATGAACCTGAATGCGCCCTTTGTCGATATCATCGATCGCACGACCACGCCCCGCATGCCCTGGCACGACGTCGGCCTCTGTGTGGTCGGCGCCTCGGCACGGGATGTGGCGCGCCATTTTATCCAGCGCTGGAATGCCATGAAGCTGGAGAAGCTGCGCGATAATGTCCGCTTCCCGTACCTGATGCCCAAGAGCTATCACCAGATACGACTCAATGCCCAGCTGCAGCAGCTGCAGCAGCGACGACAGCAGCGCGTCACCTGCCAGCTGCTGCGCAGCGTCTCTGCCTGGAGCTGTGGCTTCATCGAGGCGGATCTCGTCGAGCAGAGCATACACGATGCCTACATCGAGACGATAACAAAGGCCCAGCACTATATCTACATTGAGAATCAGTTCTTTATCACCATGCAGCTGGGCATGGGCGTGTCCGCTGCCTGCAACAATGTCCGAAATCAGATTGGCGAAACCCTCTTCAAGCGCATCGTGCGCGCCCACAAGTGCGTTTAGTCCATAGCAGCACTACGAATTCCCAATTAATTCTTTTTCTTTATGCAATTTCTGTGGCAGGGAACGCAAGCGCTTTCGTGTTTATGTGATAATGCCCTTATTGCCGGGCTTTGAGGGCGATGTCGGCGGCAATACGGGCATTGCAGTCCGTGCGATTACCCATTGGAATTATGCGTCCATATCCAGGTGCGTGCCTAACCTCACTTATGCTAAAGACAAGCAGTTGATGTATATGAAAAACACATAAAGCGCGTGCTATAATCTGATCTAAATCATGGAACGTTTGCTTTTCATAAATGATTTATTCTTTCCTGTGAAATTCTTAAGATCTGCATTTTGGATATCATGAATTCTTACTTGAGCAATTATTGTCAGGGAATATTTAAGATATGATATAAGCATGGAATTTTTAAGGAAATATAAATAACTCTCTCTCTCTCTCTCTCTACCCCCTCTAGAGGTCGCACAGCTATTCTGACACGCCTTCAGGAAGCGGGCATCGCCAAGCCGGAGAACTACATATCCTTTCACAGTCTGCGCAATCATTCGTATCTGAACAATACGCCGATTACGGAACTGATCTATGTGCATTCCAAGCTGCTAATCGCCGATGATCGTGTTGTCATTTGCGGTTCGGCGAATATCAACGATCGTTCGATGATCGGCAAACGGGATTCGGAAATTGCAGCCATTATCATGGATGAGGAGTACGAGGATGGGCGCATGAATGGCAAAAAGTATCCGAGCGGCATCTTTGCCGGCAGATTGCGCAAATATCTGTTCAAGGAACATTTGGGTAGATCTGCAACATCCAATTGCCGCCAACTCTCTAACTCTTGCTCTTGCAGGTCTATTGGATCTGGATAGTGCGGCGCGCTGTGAACTGAACATTAGCGATCCGGTCTGCGATCAGTTCTGGCATAATACCTGGCGTCGCATATCCACCAGAAATACGGAAATCTACGACGAGGTATTCAAGTGCATACCCACGGATTTTGTCAAGACATTTGCCAGTCTGCGCAAATATCAGGAGGAGCCGCCGTTGTCCAAAACCGAACCCGAATTGGCCGCCAAGCGTGCCACAGAAATTCAGGTGCGTTTAACACTTTGGAGCAGAATGTTTAAGATTTGTATTGATAGAAACCTTTTGAAGCATTTAGATGCAACGTTTCTACTTAAATTTTAATTTACATATTTTATTTTATTGATAGTTTTTGTTTTCTTATATATTTCGATGAATTTTAAAATATTAATATTACAATTTTCCAAGTTAGAAAAGATTTTTTTCCAATATTTTCAAGTTATTAAATTTTATTTTTAATATTATTATTATTATTATTATTATTATTATTATTATTATTATTATAATTTTTATTATTATTATTATTATTATTATTATTATTGTTATTATTATTACTACTATTTTAATATAATATATTTTCTATCAACTTTAATATATATTTAAATTATTATATATTACTATTATTATTTTATATTTTGACCTTAATTTCACGATTTCTAACATATTCCATCTTTAATCTGAACTTATTTCAGGGTCATCTGGTTAATCTGCCGCTGGATTTCCTCAACAAGGAAGTCCTGACGCCGCCCGGCACCAGCAAGGAGGGCCTCATACCTACCTCTGTATGGACATAGTCTGCCAAAAGTCTTCAAGACGTAACTAGTTTAAGCTTAGCCAGCAAAAGAAAATAAATAATAAAAATACTGGTGTAGGTACAGTCGCGACAAAAGCTTTGTTGACTGTTTAGTTTAGTTTTCTAATTATGCAACCCACCAAATGCGCTTAAACTTATCAAGTTGCTGTTTGCCAAGTCAAGTAAAACTATAAAGTTTGTACATATATAGAAATATATTTTGTGTAGTAGGTAAAGAAATCTATAAACTATTATCTGTTTGCCTTACAGCTAGTTAATTTATTTTACGGTATATCGACGTCCCCCTATTACGATTAAGATTTTATTGTTAATGTTTGTAATTTTAAAAACAGTATTCTAGACAAACTAAAGCGCAATTATATTTTTTAATAAAATTCCATAAAAGTGATGTAAAGTACGAAATAAGTCAAGTATTGTTTAAAAAACTTAATGAAAAGCGCTAAATTATACCGTAAGAGCTTAAAAAAATCCCTCTTAAACGATCTTTACGCGAAAATTCCCAAGCGCTCTTAAAAGCTCACTGCTGTAGCTCGATTGTTAGCTGTCTGCTGCGAGACTGTCTGAACAGTCAGCTATGTAACAAGTTTAGGACAGTTTTCTGTTATGTTAACACTATGTTAAAACATTTTTTAAGTTACCATACTGCACAACTCTGTAAAGTTAACATTTCTGTTATTAAGTGGGCCCTATAAGCTCCCGTTTTACAGGGAATGGGTTCATTTCTATATTGCGCCTCTTGCCGAAGACATTGTTGTTCCCTAATTTTTTTACTTTATGTTTTTTTGATTGACTTTGTATTAACTATTCGTATGTCCGAAAATTGGCATGGTGTTTTTTTCAGAATTTGAAATTTGATGAACGCTATGAAAAACTAACATCATTTCAAATTTAATTTGATCTTATATTTTTCTTTTAGTACGTAGTTTGTCAATTTATTTAATTTTTACAATATCTTCTATTTCTCTGGGTCTGACTGGGATGGTATCAAATATACTGCTTTGGCAAGATCAGCAAAATTGTAAGGTAAAAGCCTTCCAATGCTTAACATCAAAGTCAAATCTCTTAAATTCCGATGCTTTCCAATCAGCTCTAAGAAAAGAGCAAAAAAAAAATTGGTTTTACTCGAGACGCTTTACACTCAAAAATGTAGCGCTCACTCTTTCTCTTTCATTCGCCATCAATTGCGTAGCCATTGCAATTTTAGATTTGCTAATGCAGTGCGTTTTCTTTGCTCGTTCAGTGCAGTCGCGTCATGTGCCGTAACGTGTGCATGCGTGCGTGTGTGTGTAAAATGAGTTGGAAATTGGAAAAGTTACAAAGTACCGCAACAATGGCAACTGCAATTTGTGTAAAAGTGTCGCGCAACATTATGAGTCCTGTGTAATTTTCTGCACTTGGCCACAAGAGCCGTTTGCTTGCGTTAGTTTTCTTATATTTTTGGGGTGCTCAAAGAAATAGCACAAGACGCAAAGTCAAACGATTACAAAAACAACGGCAAATCTAGCAAACAAGTTCTGCTGCTAACACATACCAACGTATGGTGCGCTCTTGCTCTCTCTCTCTCTCTCTCTCTCTCTCATACTCTAGCATGCACGCTCTCTGGCAAAACAGTTGCATCACAAAAGGCCGACAGAGCAGCAGTCGCACACACACAAGCACACGCACACACAGCTCGTATACGTTAACGTAATAAAAGCACGTGTTGGCTTTGATTTTGTTGTGTTGTTGCTGTTGACTTTGTTGCTTTTTCTTTACGTTTTTCTTTTGGTTTATATGTGTATGAACATTTTGTATTCATGACGTGATTTGTTGTGTTGGTGAATGATGAAGCGAGTGAGTGTGTGTGTGTGGGTGTTTGATAACAACGGTGTCTTTACATGTATTTGTGCGCTCTCGCTGGCGTTCTCGCTCTCGTACCCGCTGTTGTTTGATATATTTTTTGTTATTGTTTGCGTTTGAATTGACTTTTCTTAATTATTGAAACGAATTTGCGTGGGCAAAGGAAGCTGCAACTAAAAAGCGTGGGCTACTTTTGTTAGTGCATGATTAAGGAAGTGCTGCTGCTGCTGCTGCTGCATTGGGTGCTCTATAAGTCGCCGATTTGCTAATGCGCTCGGAATGTTTGTCAAGTTGGGGCACAGCTGGCGATTAAACGTGTGTGTGTGTGCGTGTGCTTTACTACTTACGTACTTAACGGTACCTAAAGTTGCGTGTCTGCATTCAATCAATTGCAAGGATCAGTGTTGAATAATTTGCAATAAAAATAGAAAAAGAAATAAAGAAGGAGCACAACAAAAGACAAAATAAAAACTGAAATGTTAAATATAATATGGAAGAGGATATTAACATAAAAAAGTATGCCTGGAATGTGCAAGAGAAGGCGCAAAGTAAGAAGTGTAAAATGCGAAATGAGAGAGAAATTACAAAACTACGTAAGTGTGTAGCAGGGGAAAGGGAAAGGAAAATCTGTATGCTTATGTACATGTGTGTGAATTTTAACGCTTATGTACATATCTGTTTATATTTTTGTACTTATATATGTATGCATGTATGCATGCATGTATGCATGTATGCATGTATGTATGTATGTAGCAGCAAACGCGTGAAATTAAGTAGCATGAGATTATGTTAAAAAGCAGATAAGCGTGTTGCGAACAAATAAGGGACACTAAAAGGTAATTTCTAACACATTAGACTCGCAATTAAAGCCAAAGCGTTTAAATTTGCATGCGAAGTCTTACATACGCTATTCCCATAAGGGAACTTTACACATACATACAACATGTACATATACACACACATACATATATACAAAGCACTACGTTACGTTAAACAAGATCAGTTTGTTAGTTGTGTGCGTTCTTCTATGTCTTTATAATAAGCTTTGTTACATAGTTCACAGTGGAACCTGTTCCAGTTCTTTTCCCGACTGTCGCTTATTGCAACTTTATTTCTCACGCATATCAACAGGTAACAAATATTATGAGCATACAACATGTTTGTGCAGTTACTTTTCACCACCCACTCGGCTGACAATCGTTGAAAATCTGCTGCTTAGACCGAAAATAAAATATTGAACTTCTTTATAGAGCTAATAAAAAACAAAGTATTAAAAAAAGCATGTGGGCTTGTGGCGCAACAAGCAACAGCCGCACAACCGCACAACCGGCTTCCCTGTAGACCCCACCTTCAGCTACCCCGCACTCCGCCCGCACGTCCCTAGGCTCGCACTGAGTATGCCAAACCTGCTGCCGCTGCACAGAAATCAAAAGTGAACATCGCATCGCTTGCATATTGCCAACGTTTGCGTGCTTCGCTTCCCCCTTCGTCTAACTCGGCCGATTCGCCACTCGGCGAACAAAATAAAAAAAAAACACTCAGTGTTGGCGGCGTCGTCGTCGTCGTCGTCTAGCGTTTTGGCGCTCGTGAGTTGACACGAAGTTGCGGTCGTTGCTCGTTCGCATGTTCGTTCTTGTTGATTTCGCTCGTTTCTTGCTGTCTGCTCGGTTCTAGTTGGCTAAAGCTCTTCGTGTGGCGCTCAGTCGGCCCCACACCAATGCGGCGCTCGTCGCGACAGTCAGTCGCAGGCAGAGGCCAGCAGCCAAAGCAACGCGGTAGTGAGAGTTTCGGTTTTGCAGTTTTTCGAGCAAATATTTTGCTCGCAATTAACAGTTCGAGTTGACATTTTTTACATGGCAATTAAAGCAACAACTGCAGCGAATGCAAAAACGAAAACGTAAATTGTGTGTGCTTTTTGATTATTAATAGACAACGCGGCCCCGGCGAACGTAGCATTGATAACGTCATGTGCGAAAGAGCGAGCGAGCGACAGAGAGACAGAGAGAGAGAGTGTGTGTGTAAGTGTTTGTGTGCGTGTATTGGAATGCATTTGATTAGAATTGTTTGGCTTTGTTGTTAAACAAATGCCAGATTTGTGACTTTGTTTCCTCTGTTTCTGTTTCTGTTTCTGTTTCGGGTTCGCCGTTTCCACAAACATAAAAAAAAAAAACACAAAGCTCAAGAGACCCGAGAACCGGTTAACTGTTTGCAAAGCTTGCAAAAATGTTTTTTAGTTTTGTTTTTGGCTTTGTTTGTGCACTGCAAATGCACAACAGGCAACAACAAAAAGCGCCGGAAACGAATTAAACTCATAAGAAGAAAATTAGCTGTCATTCAAAAATGCAAATTTAAATACATTCACCAAATTGCTATGAATAATACAATCGAAGTCTTCAATTGTGAATTTGAAAAATTAATTAATCAAAAGAAAAAAAGTGCTGACCAAATGCAAATGTTATTCTAAAATTGTGTCACAGAAAAAAAGCTAAAGAAAAATAAAACGAAAAAAAAGTGCTCAAAAAATGATTTTGCAGCAAATTCGTGTTTAAATTTCGCAAAAAGGAAAAAAAAAAACAAAAGCGACGGCTGTAATTTGAGTAAAGTGCAATAAAAATAATAATAATAAATAATTTTTATAATTTAGAGCAATATATTTTTGCAACGTTTGAAATAATTGCATGGCGTTACAGTAAAGCGTGCCTACTGTGCGAAATGTTAAAAAAAATATTAATATAATTTTTACAACAATTTTTATAGATATTTAAATATAATTCGAACAAGAAACAGAGAAATATTCACAGATAAATTCAAAAGCAGCCTCAATTTCAGATAGTTTGTTTGTTAAAGAGAACTCAAACAAGAAGCAGAGAAATAAACATAGATAAATTCAAATGGAGCTTCAGTTTTTAGATATTTTCTCAATGTGCCAGGGCTGCAAAAAAAGGACTTTCTGCCTTATAAAGCCGTTTTATTGTTGCTTTTAATCATTTATTGTGCAATGACAAAGAATCAATTTAATTTCTTATATATAATTTCTCGCCTTACGCAAATTAATGCAAAATTTGATAGAGAAGTCGTGGAATAAATGTTAACTCTTTCAAAAATTGGTTGAATTTTTGATCCGTGATTATTTTTAGTTTGTATTTTCGGGGTATACCAGAGCGTTAATTATATTTGACAAAATATTTACTAAATTATAATTTGCTTACGGAAGTTTAAATGAAATGAAAGTAAACATGAGTTCGCTAATCGAAACGTTTTAATTAGCGATAATGCCTGAATTATAAAGTTTCGTAGCACTCAAATTTTAATAAGAAATCTACTTTCATCTTCAATAGTCTCAAGAACTGAAAACTAAGAAAAGAATCCAATTTGAATGAAGAAGAAAACAACATTAAACTAAAACAGAAGAAATGCGAGACAAGAACTAAGTAAAAGTTGAAGACTTTGAACAAAACAAATGCGAAAAGCAGCTTAAAGCAATAGGAAAAAAAATAGAGCGCAAAGTGAATTGAAGAAAAAAAATATGTGTCGTAAGCCAAACAAATGGCAACAACAACAAAAACAACAGCGAAAAGCAATTAAAAAGAACGTTGCAACAACGAAAACAAACAACAGAAGGCAGAGAAAACAAAAAAGTGCATAAAGAAAACAAATTCAAAACGAAATACGTAAACAAAAAAAAAAAAAAAAAACAAAAACAACAAAAACAACAAAAAGCAAAGCAAAGAAAATGTCAGGCACGCAATCGAAGGACATTTCGACAAAGACTAAAGAAACGGCTAATGAGGCAGCAACGGCCACGCCCATAACAGCAACAGCAGCGCCCACAACAACAGCAGCAGCAACAACAACAACAACAACAGCAGCAGCAACAACAATAACAGAAACAGCAGAGACAGCAAAGGCAGCGTCAACAATTGCCAAGAAAACTTTAACTTCGAGTGCGGCTTTGTCATTGTTTGATCAGCTGAAAAACGGCGTCAATTTGAACAGTTTGACAGGCACTGTTGCCAGCATCACGCCCTCTAGCCCCTTTGCGCCGCCCGCTGCTCCAACAGTCACAAATATTGAACTGAAGCCGCCGCGGCAACCGCCCAAGGCGTCCTTTAGCACGCCCACGCGGCTGCTGCTTGGCATTGTGCAGGGCACCAAACGGGGCAGGGAAGCAGCAGCAACAACAACTGCAACAACAACAAATGCAACAACAACAAAAGCAACAACAACAACAACAACAACAACAAAGGCAACAACTGCAACAAGAACAACAAGCTCTTTGGCAGCTGCAGCAGTTGCTGCCAAATTGGATATCAACGCATTGCGATCTCAGCTCTATCAGGGCGCCAGAAAGACTGCAACAACAACAACAACAACAACAACAACAAAAGCAAATACAACAACAAATACAACAACATTAGCAACACGCACAGGAACAACAACAATAACAACAACTGCCAGAGGAGATAGAGGAGCACGCGGGAATGGGAATAGCATAAAGAAACGCTGCTTGGATCGCTACGATTCATCAGAGTCATCAGACAGGTGAGCTAATGTCTTGTTAATCTACGATACACAAGGGTTAAGCTCTTAAATGGAAATGGTCAAATAGATCTTTAGAGATCCATTTAGTGCACATTTTGTGTAAAGTGCGGAATGAATGACTTTTTCTTCACATAGTAAGAACAAAACAATGACCCTCAAATAATTTCTTGATTTTCGTTTAGAATTCCCAAACGGTTTATGCACGTTTCAATTGTTATGGCAGGCTAGAACTACGTCAGAGCAGGAGAGTTAGCAAATGAATAAAATAGGCGCAAGTTAAGAGAGAGTGATATGTGCCCAAAAAGAAAAGTAGATAAGGCGAAACAGAAATGGGTAAATAAAGAGTGCGAGTTGGGAAAGATAGATAGGCAAACTCATTGTGAAAGACCGCGAAGCATCAACAATGTGACACATAGATATTGAGAAAAAGATAAAAAATTGGAAGGAATTTTAAGAAATTAACTAGCTTGAGAGTGTAAGATAATATTCCAGTGCTAATAAAGGGTACTATTTATATAAAAAATGCAAAAGATAATTCGTTTATATACTAAAACAATGAGAATACAAAATTGAGAATATACTTTAAAACAATTGTAATATTGTCAAATATAAATATGTATATAACGAAATAATTAAAAAAAAAGAAATATTATAATGTATTTTAAAAAAATAAAACAAAGAAATAATGAAAACTTTAAAAATTTTAATAAAATGTAAATATATATTATGCAATATTATATAATATATTTATAAATAGTAAAATTTAAAACAATAATAATAATTTGTGATTTTTTTTTACATAATATAAAAATATATAATACTAATATTATAATAACAATAATAATAATAATAAAAATGATAATATAATAATAATAATATAAAAATAATGCTGTAATAATAATAATATATGTTTATATCATTTAGTAAGCTTTTTCACAAGATTCAATCTTAAGAAGTCACATTATCTATTATTATTATGATTATTATTATTATAATTGTTATTATTATTATTATTATTATTATCATTATTATTATTATTATTATTATTATTAATATTATTATTATTATTATTATTATTATTATTATTATTACCTATCATGATGGGGCTGCACTAAAGACTAATAAAATGATGAGCCGTAAAAGATACCTCTTAAAATATGACATATAAGGAAACTAAAAACAACATAATTATGCCAAGATTTCAATAACAAAAAAATGTATACATATATATATATATATATATACATATATACCTTAAAAATATTCTCTCTATTTTGCTATGTCTTGCAATTCGCACATGAGTCATGATCATGACCACAACATTTAAACTTAACTCAAAGTTAAGTTTGAACTTAGCAACAAAAAAACTGTCAACTTTTTGTGCAGCTGCATGTTGACAAAAAAAAAAAAAACAAGAAAAAAAAGACTACAACAAGTTGAATTCAAGTTGGGGGCTTGCCAAACAATGCAACTGCTATGAAAACAATGCCAAATGCAATGCCAAAAATTGCAAACATAACATTAAGAAGCCCAAAATGCGGCACGACTAAATATACACGAGTAGCAGCAGAAGCAGAAGCGACAGCAAACACTAACTTAAGCTGCATGTTAAATATGTGAGCGAAAAAATAGCATTACGATCCACAAGATGCGCTGTAAATGTAAAAATGTAAAAAGGAAAGGGTACTTTTTGTTATTAGGCTAAAAGTCAAGTAACAGGGGCATGCCACTTATAGCATACAACAGCAACAAATCTAGGTAGAAGCCAAGTTATGGGGATACAGGATACACAGGATACATTTGGCTAGCATTAATTAGGGCTGACAAAGGCAAAGACCAGGTGTCAAGCTTTCGAACCGTAAACTTTATGCTTTGCGTTTGCTTGCGGCATGCCACAAATATCAAAAAAATAGATATTCAAAATGAAAATTGTTGCGACCTGCCACTTCTTAGTCCTCAGCTCAAATTATTTGATGAAATGCAGCAAGCAATTAAATGAATTAAACTAGTACAATCTGCATTGAAATATTCGTTTAACAGCCGTGTCTAAATTTAGTCCAATCAATATGCTACACATTTTGAATTAATCTTGCTGATTAATCAAACGATAAGCAATTCGATTACTCGATACTTTCTCTGCATGGTGTGACAAGTGGCAAGTGTTTAGATTACAGGGTATAAACAATCGAATGCAATTTGCGAGTTATTACATTACACTTTCGACGTCGACGTCGACGTCGTTGTCGATGTTGGCGTCATTTTGGAGTCACTTAAACAAGATAAATCAACGTGGGCGATTACACAATATCGCATTGTCAGTCAGTGTAAGTGTGTTGCTGTTGGTGTCGGTGTTGGTGTGTCTGTGTGTATCTTTAACTGCAGCTGTATCTGCAGCTATATCTCTTGCACTCCCTCTCTATCTCTGTTTGTGTCGACAATTGAGGCGTGCTGGCATGACTGTGCAAAAAACAAAAAAACAAAAACAAAAAAAAGAGCAACAGCAACAACCACAGCTGGCAAGAGACTTTTTGCAGCAACTGTGGAAAACTGTGGAGCAGTGGGTCGCACTTGGTCGCAGTTGTTGGGGGCTCGGGTCGCCCATGGAAAATGTGGAAAAACCTGTACCAAGTCAATAGCACACTCAAAGAAAACAAATGCTGATTAACGCGTAGCATGGAAAATAAACAAAAAATGCAAAATTACAACAAATATGACGATGACTGCAGTCGAGTTGTTGCTGTTGTTGCTCTTCTTGTTGCCGACTTTATGAGCGATAATTAATGTTAAATGTTTTGTATGCGATGTTGGAACCGAACACTCGTGTATCTACAGCCGAATGCAAAACGTTAAAAGATGCCGCAGCGCAAAAGATTGCAACTTGTTGTTGTCGCTGGCTTTAAATGTAAAAAAAAAAAAAACAAAACAAAAAATAGTATAAAATTACAAAAATTAAATTTTAATGACTGAAGTTCTTGGCAATTGCAGCGGAAGGCCAACTAACCAAATTGAGGTCAGTTAAAGTTAAAGTAGATTTTCGTCAGGCACGCTCTTCCAAAGTTTTAAAGAGATTCAAGTTGAATTTGCGAGAAGTTGACTTTCAGATAAGTAAAATATATATATACATAAACAAGCTGTGCTAATTAGTTGAAATTTAGTACTTTTATATTATGAATTACCTTTTTTAAAATATATACAAAAAATCAAGAAAATATATAACAATATATATATATTCAATATATAAACATATTTTAAAAATACTCTTTTATAAAATATAAGCTTCTAATATGTGTATAAAATATAAATATTTATAAAATATATGAAAAATAATCAAAAAAATATAAGAAACATTTAATATTATAATTATAATAGAAAATATATTAAAACTATGTTAAAAAGAAATCCAAAAAATAATCGTTATAAATGTATGCAATAATGCATAATAATTTTATTATATTTGTATATAAAATACAATTTCTTAATGCATATAATAAATAATAACAAATAAATGAACAATAAATAAGAAAACTAATTGCGAAATATTGATTAATTAAAATTACAGCTAAACCTCAAAGCTTTCCAATTTATAGCTATTCAATCTATCGTTAAGTTTCAGACATTCATTTAAGCTCGAAAGTACTTTAAATACTATTTCATCTAGTCGTGTGAGAATTCATTCGCACAATATCTGGGATTAATTCCTATAAAATTAGATTAATTAAATTGAAAGCGTGTTTGGGCAATAATTTAATTTGCCTGATATAAAAAATAATAAAGAAATATAATTCAAAACAAAGTTAAAATTATGAATAAATTAAACAAAAACAAACAAAAAAGAAATTATTATTTAATTTAACAAACGTCGTAGTATCAAAGCCAAGCAACCGGTTTGGGTTTCGTATAATTCTAAGTTTTAAATAAGCAACAAGTAAAATAAAACAATTAAAAATAAAACCCCAAAAATTGCAATATTCATGCATAAAAGCTACAACTTAGCTGCTTAAAGATGCGCAATAAAATTTAATGCAGCGCAAAAAATTGCAAGCCATAAGAAAATAAGAAAAAAAAAGTAAAAATAAAACAAACAGCAGGAGAAGCATTTTTTCATGTTTTGAGAGCGAAAAACCAACAAAAACAAAAACAAAAACAAAAAATTAAATAAATAAATCAAAAAGAGTTCAACGACCAAAAGTTGAAATTATTTCCGACAGCAAAGCGAGGCACGAACGAACGGACGAGCACAGCCGAAGCAGAAGAACAGGCGAGTGACATGCAAAGAAAGAGAGCGAGATACAAAACGTACTACAAGATACAATATTTTAGCTAGACGCGGCATTTGATATGCCGGTGTGTGCGTGTGTGTGTGTGCGTTGCGTGCGGAAACTTAAAATGAAACGAACAGAACTTTCGGTTCGGCCTATCGATGGTGACGACAACGAGGACTGCTCAATTTATGCATGATTTACAACCAACAACAACAACAACAAGAAGAAGAACAAAAACTATTAATTAGAATGCAAAAAAAGAGAATAAGCATAGTAGAACAAAGCAAGCAGCTGCTGCTGCAACAGCCGCAGATACATATGTATCTGAGGGATGCGCGCATGCAGGAAGCTTGTCGCCCACACGCGCCATAAATTAACAATCGCTGCCGCTGCCGCTGTCGCTGATAAATGAACGCATGTTTTGCGTATCTTTAAGATACAAATGCACTTGCACGCAGCGCTGTTGCGCATTTTTAATGAGCGGAAATTAGTTGGCATTGTAGATACAAAAGACGAAAAAATTATACAAAAAAAGAAGATAAAAAAAAACCACAACAAATGTATTTGTAAGCCATAAATTCACAGCTGACGAGGTTGCGCGTGCCGCGTGCCGCGTTTGTAAACTTGGCGAACGCCTCAGCGCGCACAGATACATTTATTAAATCACCTTTAAGCGTACTCTCCGGCACAATTATCTGTCAGATAAATTATTGAAATTGTTTAATGGCGCATTTTTAT